GCAGCAATTCATCACGCACCCTGCTCCCACTATTGGAAAAGCAATCCCATAGGAGGGCTGGGGTGTCGAATATTGTTGCATCATACAGTATGTATATGTTCCTGCTTGGACTGCTCTTATTTCAAGCCTTGCGTGCCAGGATCACTTTTGGCAGCATCTGAAATTCTATAAACTGTCTGTCTCATCTGTGTTAATCATGCTTCTGGAGACATAAACAACATATCATAAGATACTGCTGACCTACAATGAATAATATTGAAGACATACTGCGGGTCTCAAGTGTATATGTACAATACATACACAGTACATCTCAGGGGCGTTTGCCATGCTACCTGTTGTGTTGGGGTGACAGCAGAACTATTTCACTTTGAAAAAACCAACATTTGTACTTGTATGTATAAATCTTTGCCAATCCCTCCATTGACTGCCACTCACCAAAGAATTATATCAAAATACTAACAACAACTTACAAAGCCAACCACATCTCAGCCCCCAGTTACATCATTAACTTTGTCTCAAAATACCAACCAATGGTTGCAATATGCCTTTCCCACGCTCCCCCGGCTAGTCTGGGGATGTGATGTTGCTCGGTATTGGCGTTCTTGGATCCCTGCTGTCAGGGACCGCCGGGGGCGCCTCCCCCGGCGCACGCGCACTAGCGGCGGCTCACGCCGGGACACAAGCACCAGGTCCCGGCGGGCCGCGGCTGACAGGACGCCGCGCATGCGCAGTAGGAGCCACGGGCGCGTCCTGGGCGGCCAATGACTGTGCAGGGCGCGATATTTAAAGATGCCCTGCACTGTCACAGATTGCCGCAAGGTCTATCTGTGATCCTGAATTCCTGAACCTGTGATATTGACCCTGATTGCCCTGACTACGCTGCCTTCTCCTGTGTTTGACCCGGATTGTCCTGACTACGCTGCCTTCTCCTGTGTTTGACCCGGATTGCCCTGACTACTCTGCCTTCTTCTCTCCTGACCCCCGGCTTTTTTTTGACCTATCTGCGGACTGACTTATCCTGCTGACCCTGTGTGTGACCTGACTACTCTCCGCCTGCCGATTCTGTACCTCGCTTACCCCACGGGACCACTGCTCGTGATCCATCCTGCTAGGTCCTGCCGTCCTCTTCGCATCTGGCTCTCCCGGTACCTATACATCCCCGGAGGTTCCCTCTGCCACTGGTGGGCCTGCTCAGAGGCCGTGACCTGGTCCTGGTCTGTTACAAGTCCATCCCCACCATCAGGGGCCCTGGTGAAAGCACAGACCGGGACTTAGACTCCACGCTTTGGGTAGGTCTATCAAGTGGGCAGCCAGAGGCACCACCTGGCGGATCATAACACCTGCTCTTGATCTTGTTATCTTTTTACTTTTGTACTCCTCTTTCATTTTTTTTTTCTGTTTGTTTTTGGTGTGGCAGTGGATAGCTGCCTTTAGTTTGAGTTACTTTAGGAGTTATACTAATGTTTTTGTCATTTACTGTATGTGCCATTACTGCAAATCGAAACAAAAACGAGAAGCGCACCAACCTTGCGCATTACCTCAGTATAATAAATAAAATCAGGCATGTAAGTCCTCAGAGGAACCTGAAAGATAAAGAGCCAGCGCGGATCCCATCATGGGGGTGGATACTCAGTACAGCTCACGCATTTTGAAGGGCATCCCTTCTTCATCAGAGCTCATGTGCCATTGACAGCCCCAGCATGGGAGCACCTTTTGCTCTGTTGGTGTTTTTTTTTTTTTTCTATGTGCAATTGATAGCCCCTGTGTGGGCGTGTTTTGTTGCTCCCGTCTTAAATTATTTATAAATTAATAAAAACATTGAAATACAAAATATCAACCAAATCATTCTTTTCATTCCTTCCAAGAGCTCCTGCTTTCTAGGAGCTTTCCAGGACTTCTCCCGAGCCTCTCCCATCCTATGGAAATTCCTACCCCAATCTGTCTCTTACACTGTACTCTTATAGGCAATCCCTGAAAACCCTTCTTTTCAGAGAAACCTATCCCACCTCCACCTAACAACTGTATTTCCACTTTCTCCATCAGCTCATCCCCCCCAGTTATTACCTTTCGTAACACTTGACCCTCCCCTTTTAGATTGTAAGCTCTAACGAGCAAGGCCCTGTTATTCCTCCTGTATTGAGTTTTATTGTAACTGTACTGTTTGCCCTCACGTTGTAAAGTGCTGCACAAACTCTTGGTGCTAAACAAATCCTGAATACCCACATGGAAGAAAAATATATTTGAAATATATTTTTTAAAAATATTCTTCTCAAATATATTGACATATATTTGAAATACAAAAATTTTGTCCGTATTCAATATATTAAAAAATAAATAAAATATATATATGTATATATATATATATTTTTTTTTTTTTTAAAGACATACAGTAGATTTGAAAATTTATTTTTAAAAATACTTTTCATATATTTTGTAATAAAAATGCATTTCAACATACAATATATATATATATATATATATATATATATATATATATATATATATTATGTTGAAATGCATTTTTATTACAAAATATATGAAAAGTATTTTTAAAAATACATTTTCAAATATACTGTATGTCTTTAAAAATACATTTAATCTACATTTTTGGAATGCATTTACAAATATATGTAAAAAATGTATGTTAAAATGACTTTTTTATATGTTACAAATGTTAAAAAAATCTGAAGAATGTATTTAAAAAAATATATTTTTAAAAATGTTTAATATTTTGTAATATATAAAAAAACACATTTTCCCAAGGAGCCGTGCTGCCCCCCTGAAAAGTGCTGCCCTAGGCAAATATGCCCCTGGTTATAGACGGTATTTCATAGTTAAGCAAAGATTGTTCAGTTACATACAGAGATACATAAAGACATCTGCTTTACAGTCTGTTGGATAAGGTGAAATGTTCAACGAAGAAAACCTACTCAAGGTGGATCATCTTAACCTCCTTGGCGGTATGATTCTTTCAGATTTTTTGTGCTGAAAGCGGTACCATTTTTTTGCATGGAAATATGTAGTTTTTTATTGTAGGCTGTAATTTTTAGGAATAACTCACTGAAATCTGTACAAACAAGAGTCTAGTAAACATCCTGGGTAGGATAAAATTTGAAACACGAAATCATAAATTATAATTTAATAAATAATCATAAAAAATAATAATATAATAATAATAAATTTAATTCAATAATATAATCAAACCAAAAACACTGAAATTTGAAATACAGAGGCAAATTCGCACATCGCTGAGCAAAGTCGCAAAATCGTTTTCAGTGTCTGATGACGAATTTCCCCCACAAATCATTATCACTCAATTCTGCAAGTGGTTCTGATTTACTATCGCTGTTCTAAAACTGCTTTTGACGTAAAGGGATGCTTTTTGGACGCCATGGACTTTTCTAAGTTTCCAGGCAGAAAGAACATTCAAAATGCAGGCAGGGCGCCGGACAAAGCAGTAGGGACAAAATATATGTGAAATGCATTGAAACAACAATGACAGCAAAAATGAAATTTTTTAAAAATTTCAAATTTCCCGCCAGTTCCGGCGCTTGTACGTCCTGATGTTACAGGGACCGGAACACGGAAGCCGGATGCCGCCATCGGCCGGAGGAGGTGGCCGGGGACGCTGCAGGGGACACATCGTGGGAGCGCAGGACAAGGTAAGTGCTGCAGGGACCCCCAGAGCAACGCCGCATGGTAAGCCCGAGTGTAGCTCAGGGTTACCGCTCTTGGTATAGAAATTTTACCCCGAGCTACACTCGGGAATACCGCCAGGGAGGTTAAAGGATCACGTCTGTTTTTTTTTAAAGCATGTATTACCTTAAAAAAAGTACATCAGTTACTACATAGTTGCTTTGGAACGGGGCGTGTTTATTGTACAATTGTTTAAAGCTCCAACACAGATCTGTGAAGTCACCAATTCACAAGTTTGGGACTTTAATTATAGTTATCTTCCCTAGATAGGGGAATATGAACTGCTAAGTATTATTTCTTGATGTTTTAATGACAATATTGTGATTTTGCTTTTGATTATTGAGTTTATTGTTATGTTTGCATTAACCATTTTCCTTATTTTCAGTGTACAGAGACCATTTTAAAGTTAAATATTGTTTACCTTCGTCTTTCTCTGTGGGGTCGATCTACTAAAACTGGAGAGTGCAGAATCTGTTGCAGGCGTGCATGGCAGCCAATCAGCTTCTAACTTCAGCTTGTTCAATTAGGCTTTGACAAAAAAAAAAACTGGAAGCTGATTGGTTTCTGTGCAGAGCTGCCCCAGATTTTGCACTCTACAGTTTTAGTAAATCAACCCCACTGTATCACATAATTTTGAGGGTATCACTAGATTTATATAGGAGCTGTACCCACATACTTTTAAAAACCACCATCTACATTTGGGGGCTTATCCGGGATTTCAGCACAACCCACCTGATTTCTTTATGCCCAGTGTTCCACTGTCAGACACTGAATTTGAAACCACCATCTACGGGTGTGCTAAAATTGGGGGGTCACCCCACTTTCAGAAAATGCATATGAATACCACCCAATACAGGTGTGCTACATATAGTAGCAAAAGTACCTGAAAAATTAAATTTGGGGGCTCATCCGGGATTTTATCTTCACCCACCTGCTTTCTTTATGCCCAGTGTCCCACGGTCAGATACTGCATTGCTGGACAGAAACGGTCTGAATTTTTTCATAAAGCAACACTTGCCGATTTGTCTGTCTCCTGTGTCCCCTACTGCACTCTATGGTTCCTACTACCAACCCTATGCCCCAACTGTGTTCTGTAGTGATTTGGAGGTCAGTGGAGGAACCATAGAGTACAGTGGGCGGCCAGGAAACAGACACTTCTGGAAGTGTGAGTATCTGATAAAACAGCAGATAATTCCTGTTCATCAAAGTGGAGTTGGCGGCAGGAGAGGTACCCATTTACTTTCTTCCTTTCAGAATCAGAAACTTTTTCAACTTTACTTTTTGTGACAGAGATTGTCACATACCTGATTGGAGACTGAAATGATGAGGTCAGCCTCACTTGTATCACTAGCCCTGACCCAGGGGCGGACTGACAACTCATGGGGCCCCCCGGGCAATAGGCGATCATGGGGCCCCTGTGTCCTTGCCCAAACTAAAAAAAGCCTACGAAAAAGGTACCAGGGGCATCTCATGGGGCCCCCTACTGACCCCGGGCCCTCGGGCAGTGCCCGAGTTTCCAAATGGTCAGTCCACCCCTGCCCTGACCCCACCGGAAGTGGAACAGAGGGTGTCTAGGGACCAGGGGGACAAGAGTGCCAGCAGATGTTGTTTGCAGCTCTTGCGGTTGGTGACCTTGGAAGACTGATGAACCACCGATTCAGGCACTGTAGTAATATGCAGAGCTGGTATGGTAGATCGCCAGGTGTGCACCAGAGCAAGGCAGGAAGCAGGGATGGGAGACAGGAGCAATGTCATAGGAATAGCCGGGGTCATCAACGGGCGGACAGCGAGGTACCAAATCATAAGCAAGCCAAAGTCAGGAGCAGAGCCGAAGTCAGGAACCAGTATCAAGCAGGAGAGTAATCAGAGTCAGGTCAGGAACAAAGAATTCACACAGGAATGAGCAGGAAACGGGGAACAACTGAAGACCAGTCAGCACTCAGCACAGGCAGAGGCACCGTCTGGCGCCAATCTTCACCGTGCGTGTGTACGTGCGTGATCATGCATTTCTGTGCACATGCGCACGTCTATTCACCAGTCGTCTTACGGGAATTCCCTTACAGAGATACTTTGAAGCCTTCAAGAATGGGGCATTTCCTCAATTTCCAATAGCCAACATTTTTACCATCACTGGGAGCCCCTAGGGCCACTATTCCTAGTGTGTCCAAGCTCACTTGCAGCACTCAGGGACTATCTGAGTGGTTTGCCAAAGCTTTAACTCCTCCAGGACATATTTCATCTACATCATGACCTTGCATTAGCCCTTCAGACTCATTATGTCCCTAACACACCTCTTCTCGGAAATTAGGGAGATTAGGCTGCTGTGACTCCTATAACCTACCTAGGGGCATAAAGAAGGGTCATCATTTCTTTGTTTGACTATGGTCAGGCTTGTGTACATGATCATTGCTTTCCGGCATTTGACCTGTGTACAAGTCCTTATGTACCTGCTGTGCCAGCACAGAAAGTCCCCAAACTCAGCTTTCAGTGCCTAAGTTCAAAGGAGAGTGCATCTGGAGTCATTGAACACACTTACTTGTTTGGATGCGATACAACTTATTACAGGAACACTTGTGACTCATAAATATAACAGGATGATTAGGACTCATGTTCGCTCAAGATCAGTAGATCAGGTTATCAGGCTTGGCAATACCTCAATAACTTGAATGTGCTGCAAGCAGCTTGAGAAATCCCATCACCAGTCTGTTACAGCAATGCGGCACACTCAAAGGAGTAGATTTACTAAAGTCATTTTTCAAGGGAATTTTTCCCTAGAGCTAAGTGAATGTGGTGACATTTACAAGGAATGCCCGATCACATGCAAGTAAAATAAAAAAAAAAAAAACAGCATTTTGCTTGCACATGATTGGATGATGGAAGCCAGGAGCACTTTACCTTATTCAGTAAGCTCTAGGAAAAATTCCCCTGCAAAGGACAAATTCCCCTTCAAAGTGCAAATTCCCCTTCAAAGTGCAAATTCCCCTTCAAAGTGCAAATTCCCCTGCAAAGTAAACAGTCTATTTATCCTTAGTAACCCAACTCCACAGCAATTGAAAGACACATACAGACATACTGCTACAGGGCGGCACCTGTGCGCAGGTTCACGTATATATACGTCATTCTACATGTCCAGGTAGGGGGCATGCGTGAGCCACGCACGCTCCCTACCCGCGCCGCCATTCGTGGCCACGGACAACAATCACTGGGTCTTGGCCCGGCCAGTAACTACCCGCTGGCGCCCGTTAATTACTGAGCATCTCCGATGGAGAGGAAGATTGTTTTGTTTACAAACAATCTTTCTCCCTGTCAGCTCGAGCACACTGCTCTAGATGGCTGTGCACATTACAGCCATCCTGATCAGTGTGCTTACAGTGAAGAACACCCCCCCCGCCCCCTAGTAAAACACTCCCAGCACACAGTTAACCCTTTGATCGCCCCTCACATTAACCCTTCCTGCCCAGTGCCATTAGTACAGTGGCAATGCTTTTTTTTTGGAAGCACTGATGGTGGCACAGTGGCTTAGTGGTTAGCACGTCTGCCTCGCAGTAAATGGGTCATGGGTTTGATTCCCAACCATGGCACCTCCTGCATGGAGTTTGCATGTTCTCCCTGTGCTTGTATGGGTTTCCTCCAGGTACTCCGGTTTCCTCCCATGCTCCAAAGACATGCTGGTAGGTTAATTGGATCCTGTCTAAAATTGGCCCTATTATGTGTATGTATGGATGTGAGTTAGGGACCTTAGATTGTACACCCCTTGAGGGTTATGGACTGATGTGAATGTACAATATATATGTAAAGTGCTATATAAGTACCTTAAATAAATAAATCACTGTATTGGTGTCACTGGGGTGTCAGTGACACCAAGTTAGTCCCCCCCAGTGTCAGAATGCCCACCACAATCCTGCTAAAAGTTGCTAGCAGAAAAAAAAAAAATCCCATTATCTATACCGCCATTTGTAGACTCTATAACTTTCACGTAAACCAACTAATTTACACGTATTGGGATTTTTTTTAGCAAAGACATGTAGCAGAATACATTTTGGCCTAAATTTATGATGAAATTAGATGTTTTAATGGACATTTCTAATCGCAACAAGTCCAAAATATAGTTTTTTTTCTCAAAATCGTCGGATTTTTTTTTATATCGCAAAAAATTTAAAATTAAACAGGCAATCAAATACCATAGAAAGAAAGCTCAATCCATGGGGGAAAAAAAGGACGTAAATTTAATTTGGGTGCAGAGTTTGATTTTTTAATATTTTTTTACTGGACATGTTTAATAGCAAAAAGTCCAAAATATAGTTTTTTTCTCAAAATAGCTTATAGTGAAAAAATTTAAAACGCACAAAAGAGAGCTCAATTTGTTGTAAAAAAGGATGTAAATTTCATTTGGATGAAGCATTGCATGACCACGCAATTGTCAGTTAACCTCCCTGGCGGTATTCCCGAGTGTAGCTCGGGGTAAAATGTCAGTACCAAAAGCGGTAACCCTGAGCTACACTCGGGCTTACCATGCGGCGCTGCATAAGGAGTCCCTGCAGCACTTACCTTGTCCTGCGCTCCTGCGATGTGTCCCCTGCAGCGTCCCCGGCCATCTCCTCCGGCCGATGCCGGCATCTGTCTTCTGTGTTCCGGTCCCTGTGACGTCGGGACGTACGGGCGCCAGAACCGGCGGGAAATTTGAACATTTTAAAAAAATGTCATTTTTTTCCAAACAAATTTTTCATAGTAAAACATTGCTGTTTCAACCCATTTCACATACATTTTGTCCCGAGTGCTTTGTCCGGCGCCCTGCCTGCATTTTTACTGTTCTTTCTGCCTGGAAACTGAGAAACGTCCATGGCGTCCAAAAAGCGTCCCTTTAGGTCAAAAGCGGTTTTAGACCGGCTAGAGAACAGCGATAGTAAATCAGAACCACTTGCAGAATTGAGTGATAATGATTCGTGGGGGAAATTCATCATCAGACACTGAAAACGATTCTGCGACTGAGCTCAGTGATGTGCGAACTTGGCGCTCTATTTCACATTTCAGTGTTTTTGGTTTGATTATATTATTGAATTAAATGTATTATTATATTATTATTATTTTTTTATGATTATTTATTAAATTATAATTTATGATTTTGTGTTTCAAGTTTTATCATACCCGGGATGTTTACTAGACTCTTGTTCGGACAGATTTCAGTGAGTTATTCCTAAAAATTACAGACCTACAATAAAAAAAAAAATACATATTTCCATGCAAAATAATGGTACCGCTTTCAGCACCAAAAATCGGAAATAATCAGACTTAAAGGGAGGTTAAAGTAACGCAGCTCCGTATTGCAAAAAATGGTCTGGTCGGGGGGGGGGGGGGGGGGAATCCTCAGGAGGGCAAGGGGTTAAAACCGTATGCCGGGGTGTGGACTGTGCACCAGATTGTCGGATTGTGACGTAAAATCACAAGACTTTATTAAAAAGAATGAAAATAAAATCCCCTAGATCTGTGTAGCAGAGTCCCCGGTAATTAATCATGTGTGACTTTCCTCAGGGCTGCGTTTGCTATCTGAGAATTTTATCGTAAATACGATTTCATGCGTTTATAAATAAATCCTTAACGTTTTCAGAAGGATTGTCCAATTGTTTGTGACGTGTTTAGTTATATATACGGTTCTCCAAATATTAAAAAATGAAGTGACGGAGCAAGAGACGAGCTGTGAGTGAGAATCCTGGAAATGGAATACATAGGTCTGTTTAATTTTTAATTTTTTTTTTATTTTTAGGTAATTAAAACGTTACACAAGAATGTCGTTAATAGACCGGCAACCGTCTGCCAGAATAGAACGAATACATCAGCCCCTTTGTGTTTGCAGCATTCTCCGTGGAGGAATTCGTTCACCTGCCTGTGGGTATTCCTGTGCTGCTGCGGAGATTAAAGAACATGCAAACCCAAAATGTAATTTTCCTGATAAGTGTCTGCTGTACCATGTCCTTGTGTGAAAAAGTTCCTGCCAGTGTCTCTCTGCGGTCCTATTACAAACTGACCACACTAGGCATGAGAGCACAGTGTGGTCAGTTCTCTACCTGTGCCTGCCCTCCCCCAACAATCAGACTTGTTCTGATGTTCTGAAACCCCCCCACCCCCTCCACACAGCCATTCACTGGGAAGATCAGTGTGATGCTCTTTCTCCTCCCCCACCGCTGATGCAGCTGAAAACAGAGGCAGGGGCATCCCTAGGGTTGGTGCCACCCGGTGCAATAACACTTGGTGACACCCCCTCCAACAATCCCTGCAGAATGGATCGGATCTGCGGATTGAGCATAATGGATCGGAGTCCGATCCACTATGCTCCCCAATCCGCATATCCCATCGGATTGGGTGTCCCTAGGGTTGGTGTCACCTGGTGGCGATAACACTTTCTTTACAACTTACTTTTTTGTGGAGCGGGTCCGGTGTCACCCTGTATAGGTTGCATGCCAACGATCCCCGCACGATGGATCGTATCTGCGGATTGAGCATAATGGATCGGAGTCCAATGCATTATGATCCCCAATCCGCAGATCCAATCAGATCTGTGGATTGGGCGTCCCTAGGGT